GATCCCAGGACCCCGGGATCATGACCTGAGCCGAAGGCAGACACTCAATGACTGAGCCACCCAGATGCCCCTTCAAGTTTGCTTTTAATGTTTATTAGATTTTCTTCATAGGGAAAGGTATAAAAAAAAGAGGCTTATCATCTCCTTTCCCGGATAATCCCTGTAGACATTTTTAAAAAATGTCCACCACGTTAGAAAATTAGGAGAGGTTCAAAATGTAAGGTAAAAGCCACCTTTCCTGTCCATCTCATCAAAGTTAGTAGCTGCCAACAATTTGAGTACTTCTGGTAAAAAATACTATGCCATACTACTATCTAGATTTACATATTTCAAAAGGCTTTTTTAAAAACAAAGATAGTATGTACTTCTTGGAAAAAATTCAAATTATATGAGAAGTCTATAAAATAAGAGCATAAACCTCTTTGTGTAACCACTCCCTTGTTGATGGACATCTCTTGGAGTAGACTACTTTTCCTCAGTAGAGAAAAAAGATCAGCAAGCTTAGTGTGGAGTTCTTTCTCTGTATATTTGAGAGGGATTTAATACAAATGAATTAGAAGTGCAAGTTGTAGGGACTGAAGAAGGCCTTGGGATAATGGTCAGTCTGGGTCATAGCTGGGGAGGTTTGGACTTCACTGCTTTCGAGATGATTCTAGGGATAGATTTGTGGAGCATTCTTAGCCCAGGCTGGGATTGGATTGGATCTGAGTTTCACAGTAAATTAACACTGAAAACAAATAGTCTAGCTCTTGGAATGAGTAAGTGCTCGGGAAGGAAGGATGGGGCTGAGACTTCACCTGTGTTTATGAGGAGATGATTAGGAGTCAGGGGGTAGTTACAGTCTCTGGACTGACCCTCCTGCATTCTCTGGGAGACCAGACGCCTTCCGGCACCGAGGTTTCGATTTGGGGGAAGGAGTTGGCAGAGAACTTCAATAAGGCCTGCACTCTGCTGTCAGGACTTGGGAGATTGGAGTCTACTCCTCCCTGGGCCCTTGGATCTCCTGGACTCTTAGATGTGGGATTGTGTTAGCTGGTTTCTAGAGACCCTTTTAGTGCTGAAGTTTTGAGCTGCTCTTTTGCCTGTGTGTGTTCTCAAGTGTGTGGTAGTCCTTGGCCTCAGGGAGCTTACAGTTCAGTGTTACTAGACTGTTCATTTCTCTGTTCATTCCTGCCTGCTGCAGTGTGAGGGTATTACCTGATGGGCATGAGAAAGTGAATAATGAAATGGCAGCAATTCAGGCCCTTTTACAGTGGCACTTCTCAGTGGGGTGGGATGGAACCCTCCGGGAGAGAATCTTCATCTTAGCCACTGTCACCTTCCCTGTGATTGGTGCAGCAGCCACTGATTTCTAATTTGCTGAGTGCTTCCTATATGTAATCGCCCTTCAGATAACCCTTTCATGAACTGAGATTTTTTTTTCCTCCCCGCTTCCAGGTTGATTCAAAAGATAGTTCTCGTAACTCCACGAACTCTGAATTTGCAGCTGAAGCGGAGGGTCAAAATGATACAAATGAGGAACCAAACAAGGTGCAAAAAAGGAAGAGGGATCGATTTCGAGACCAGGGCTCTACGGTGATCTACCTGAAGGCTATCCAGGGCATCCTGGGAAAGTCGATGCCAAAAAGGAAGGGAGAGGCTGCCACGAGGGCAACGCCGAACAGAGGAGAGCGTCCCAGCCGCGGAGAAGGGCCAACCAGGAGTGTCACTGTGTCTCCTCAGAAAGGGAAAGAGTCAGCCCCGGAGGTGAAAGCAGAGGACAAAAAGGCTGTGCCAGAGAGGAGCAGTTTCTGCGACAGGAGAGTGGTGATAGACCCTCAGGAGAAACCCATCGAGGAGATAGCTGGTGACCGAAGGACAGTCATTGACAAGCACTCTCCAGCCCTCGAGTTTTTGGATGATTCCGACTCTCATTTAGAAAGCCAGAAGGTGAGTAGAGCTTATACCAGGCATGGGGTTTTTAGTTCTCTTGATGATAAGTATTTGGTCTTTCTAGTTTGATCCTGAGTGTTACTCATTAAAAGCAGCACTTTACTTACCAAGGACTCCAGGACCAACTGATGGTTCTTTTCTAAAATACCTTTCAGAGTTACTAAAAAATCTCAGTTCAGTGCTATCTCTCTCTCTCTCTCTTTTATTTAAATTTAGGATGTATATATTTGTTAGGATATGCATTTGCCTGCCCTAACAAAGGCCAAAATAACAGTGGCTTAAAGAAAATAGAAGTTTGGCTTGAGGAGGAGGGCTGCACGGTGTCGGGGACCCTGGTGCCATCTGTCTTTTTTTTTTTTTAAAGATTTTATTTATTTATTTATTA